TAATACATTGGTGCAAAACTTTCTTAAAATTCACTCAGGGGGATACATTGTGAAGTTATATCAGGAAAGGGGTAAAACCCTCAGTCACCAGCATTGGGCAGGGATTGGGAAGGAGAGAGAGAACACAGAGAGAAGATGATATGTAAGTGACCCCGAGGCCTGCTATGGGGTGGAGAAGAAAGTGGGAGATGCCAAGGACTTGTCAACAAAGGAGGGACTGAAGTTAGGGCATCGGGGAGTATCTGGAGAAGTACAAGCAGTTACCAAAAAGTTCTGTCTGGGTGAATCAGGAGGCCCATGGTCTGAATCAAGAGCTCTACTTACATGGGTCTAAATGTCTTGGGAGGATTCCAGGCTAGATAAGGTTCCAGCATAATTTTAAGGCAAGAAGTTGTGGAACAGGTTTTGAGCAAGATAACAAAATAGCCTTATTTTTGGCAGGGAGAGTAGTGGTGGTTGTTCTAACTCATTTATACCCCTCTCTCTCTTTCCTGCTCAGCACCAAAGCCCACTCACATATACCATCTCCCTGCACCTTCACCAACTATGCCAGTCTCATCTAGTGCACTGCTGTGCGGGTGCCCGCCTCCCTTCCCCTGGGAACTCCACCCAAGCCTGTCTTCAAGGGCATTGATCTGTAAGAGGAAATAGGACATCTTTTCTGCTCTCTACTCCATCAATACTCATATTTCCCTCGAAACTTATCTCACCGAATAGTTCTCAGGAAGGTAACTTGAGACTGATGAGTTCATGTGGTATGGGCTGTAGGTACATGATAAAAAAGAGAAGAAAAAGGTACTTGCTAACCTCAAAGGCTATAGACAAAGTCATTTGACTAAACCATTTTTTTTTGTGGTACATCTCAAAGTATGCAAGGTAGACAACTCATATTAATGCGTTATGTTCAGTGATGCGACGGACGAGATCAGATTTTATCAGGACTGTAAAGCCTTGATTATTGTGCTGTACCCTCCACATGCAATGAAAAGCTTACTGCCCACAGGAGTACTTTAGCTGGGAAACAGCTAAGCTCAAGGAGCTGTGACAGCATGGCAGAGGAATCGCTTCAAAATCTGTGAGTCTGACGGAGGCCCTGTGCGAGGAGAAACAGGGACAAAGGTTCAGAATGCTCATTTGTTTTGTTGCAAATGTCTCCTTCTGTGTTTGCAGCCCACTTGATATGTGCTGAATTACTGTAGGTTTCTCCTTGAGTCCTAGAAAGCTGAAGCCTAAAAGCAGATTCTACCTGTCAAAGCAGATTCAGATTTTTTTTTTTTTTTTTTTTTAATGTATGAGCTTAATACAATGAGAAAGATATGAAAAAAGTGACAATGAGGACAGGGCTTACTGAGTCCTCTAACTTCCTCTCTCTTAGCCTCATGGGATGAAGTAAATCAAGGAGTTTCTTCTCAGTGATTTCCTAAGTGACTGTACATTCTCCTTTCCTCCCCTCCCCTCCCCTCCCCTTCCCTCCTCTCCCCTCCCCTCCCCTTCTCTTCTCTTCCCTTCCCTTCCTTCTCTCTTTCTTTCTCTACTTCATCCTTCCCTCCCTCCCTTCCTCCCTCCCTTCCTTCTTTTTTTTTTTTTTTTGACAGATTCTCACTCTGTCACCCCAGGCATCATAGCTCACAGCAACCTCAAACTCCAGGGCTCAAGAGATTCCTTTGCCTTGGCCTCCTGAATAGCTGGTATTACAGGCACCCACCACACTCCGCTAATTTTTTCTATTTTTTTTTTTTTAAAGTAGAGATGGGGTCTCTCTCTTGCTCAGGCTGGTCTTGAACTCCTAAGCTCAAGCAATCCATCTGTTCCAGCCTCCCGGGGTGCTGGGATTACAGGGTTTGGACATTCTAAGGAACTTTGATGGCATTCGGAAGAAATGATTCACTATCCCTACTGTGCATTGTCTCTTCATTGAGCCCAATCTATTGATATAAAAGAATTCTATGTCGGTGCAATAGAAACTCTGCTTTTTCTGTCATTCGTTACCCGGAAGAACAGATCTTATCTAATGCAGCATTTACCTTTGAACTTTATAGTCCACAATTTTGTCATTAGAACTGACCTAATTTTAACTCCCAATTTATATAAAAAAAGGAATTCTGAGACTAATGAAATAGCCATTATCATTTAATAGTCAGCAACATGCAAAAAGAGATAAAGGAGGGGGAACGTTGCAAGCGCTTTCTCGTGGAGGAGCTGGTGGTGGTAAGATGGTTATGGAAACAGTAAGATACATTTAAGGGTAATTTTTTTTAAGGACAAGTTTTAATCCTAAAAAATAGAAATGATAAATACACGTAAGTGCTATCCTCTACTATTTAATGGCAAAAGTATTCAAATTAACACAGTGTACTCAGGAAGAAATTAGTAAACGTTTATTTTGTCTAGCACTTTTGGCAAAATTTACTTCCTACACTTCTTTGCTCATCTTACATAGGTTGAGAAATGAATCAGATTCGTTTTGGTTACAGTTTATTATTTAGCTTAAAGACAATCAGCTTTCTAAAAGCGTACTATGTATCATGACATGGTTAGAGATTCAAAAACCAAGTAAAGTGTGAAACTTCAGCAAGATCCGAAGGCTTGACTCTGGATAAATTGAGATTAGTATTCCCAATAAGGAGTCCCATCAGAGGACAGGGTGAGTTCAGGGCAGAATTCTCACAGTTGTAACTTGTGTCTCTGAAATTGTCACATTATTCAGCAACAAAGTTTTCATATACTCAAATTAGTTCACTTGTAACTTGTATTAATTAAGAATGTGTTCCCTAATTAGCATATGTTGGAAGGTGTTTTAAAAGTGGCTTGTTTGTAACAGTGGCTGGTATTGCTGGAATTCAAAGTGATGCCAGCAGAATGCCACTTCAAATGAAAACTTTTTTCTTTTGGCAGTGGAAAAAAGCAGAGGCACACAGTAGCTCTGGATTTATGAAGCATGTTTTCTAACTCTCCCGCTCCCACGATGTGTGCAGTTCCCTTGAACACACTGAGTTTAGACCATTGAACAAGAAACGGATTCTGTCCCCAAATCTGCTTGTTAATTTAAGATTCTATGGTTCTTTGATTATCATCGGTCCCCTTCTCAAGTCTCACGTGATGGGGGGGGAGCGGGGAAGAGTGAGACTGAGACCTCCACAGCAGCTTCTTTTGTGTGTGAAGCAACGTTCAGTGACAAATCGGACAGGACACTCCCATGAATGGTGGATGTTCTGGACAAAATCTGTGGAAACATTTTACGGTCAACATTCCAGGAAGCAATTTGGCAGCCCTGGGTCACATCATGAAATTACACCATTGTGTCCCCCCAAACACAGTTTTGTGCTGACAAAGGAGAGGACATAAACTGCTGAAAACAGATCTGGAGAATGAGTGGGTCAAGTGACCAATAAGCAGAAAAGGACAGAGAGAAACCCCTACGTACCGTATAGGAGTTTTCAGCAGTAAGCAGAGTCCATCCTTGTGAATGGTCCATTAAACAAAGGGTTTATTGTACAACAGGCCCAGATCCCTGGAGGAAAAGACAAATGATTCTTTTTCACTGAAGGGAGGTTAACTCTTTCTTCCTTTTTGCAGCCTGGAAGATGCTAAGTGTGAATATAGTGGTTAATTTCTCTGTTGGCTCCAATGGGTCTCCGGGTCAGGATTATGCTTACTCAGTATGCATTTTCTATGCCTTGGAGCGGCAGGAGCCCCTTCGTCTACAGGTCCCCGTTTCACTCTTTTTATCCCGTCTAGCAGAGACAGACGGTGCAGAACACATAGTCCAACAATTACCAGACCATTAGAATTCGGCTGCAGTTACATCTTTCTTTTTGCATACAAGTAACTAAGTACCATTTTGACATTGCATTAAACTTTACTTTCAGATTTGAGCTAGGAAATCCTCTGGCCTGCACCATGGATGCTAAACATGGTAAGAACCAAGAACTGTGTGTTCTATTTGGATCTTTTCAAGACCAAATTTGTAGGGAGAAAAATTCTTTTTTGCCTAGGATGGCTGTGAAAGTGTTAGGAAAACCCCCAAGAGCTGGAGAGAAGGGTCTGATTGTAGCAGGCTCCCTTTAAGAGGGAAACAAGATTAGCAACTTTGGCAAATTTTCGGCTTCTATTCAGAGGGAAAGAGAAGAGCTGCCAGTGTCCAAAAGAAAAAAAAAAA